CGCCTATTCTTTCCTTCTGCGGAACCAGAAAATATGGCGAAATCGGGAACTATTACCTAGCTGAATACTTGTGATAGTTCCAAATAAGTACACGAATTCAAATTTACCGTTATGATAAGTGCAACTATTTTCACCAACAGTGGCATTAAGCTTAAATAATTTTATCTGTAACAACCTTTAGTTCAGGTGCAGAAATCTGCCCTAACAGTAACGTAAATTCCAAACAGTCACACTAATATCGACCTTGGGTTGCAGTTGCTGTATAAATCTTTACTAAATATCTAGCAATACCTACATAACTGACATTAATTTTAAGGTTATGTTAAGCCGAGGCCCAAAAGTCTCACACCAAAGTCCAGCCGACGCTGCCAGATGACTCTATAGTTAATAGTATTTATTACATCGGTCAACAATATCTAACCAACGTTGGAAGGTCAGCTAAAAATTACCTAAACCTACTTAGTAAGTCACCAACGTCTAATCAACGTTAGATAATGATATGAAAATACACCCAACGTATTAAGTAGATTTCTCACGTCAAACCGACGTTAGTAAATGAGCTATATGTAAATAGTAGATTTGCGAGGTACAAGCAACATTGCTCCGACGTTGAATGGGAAGTATATAATTTAAGGCGCTACTTGACTACTATTTGTAATAATTCTTATGTTGGAATTAGTAAAGAAGTAGTCGGTAATCGGTGAAATGTTACTTGGGATGACATTTTGTCATTCGAAATCAATTTTCTATAAAAAAATTCAAAATGTAGACCTGAGATTTATTCATTTTTAATAAAATGTATGTGTAATTGAATAACAATAAGTTTACGACCTTTCGTAAATCTTCAGTGATTACCTAAATTAATAGCTTGCCCTGCTGCTAAATTGCTAGTACAAAAAACTAAAACTTGAATTTTTTATGTGTATATATATAAAAATATAAAAAATTAAAATCAGTAATTAAGAAAATAATTATAACAAATGTTCAAAAATATTGCCTTCCTCCTCGATGCATAAGTTAATGCGCCGGTTATTATGAGCCTCAAAATTAAAATGCCATGCCGCCTTAATGATGTAAACCAAATCAGGATGCTCACTTTCTGTTCTTCAACTGTTTCTATAGTTTCTTTAAACACAAAATTCAAATCTTGCCAATACCATAATTAGTAATAAGAAACGATCCGTAGAGAAGATTCGAAAAATAGCTTTAACAAATAAAAGAACTGCTGATTCGAATTTTTTTTATTTGTGATTTTTAAATAGACATATTTCATTGATATCAGTAATTCATCAGAAAGGCAGGCCAGTAATTTAGGCAATCACTGAAGATCTAAGAAATGTCGTAAACTTATTATTATTCAACTACACATACAGTTTATTTAAAATAAATAAAACTCATATCTGTATTTCCAAAATAAAAAAAAAAAAATTAAATTAAAAGACAAATGTCCGAAAAAGTACATTTCTCTTAAGTCGATGAAGACATGAAGAAGAACTAGAAGGAAAATCTGTTCCTCGAATTCACGATTTTGAGTTTTTTCTTCCTTTAATAATTTAAATAATTTGTGTTAAAAATATGCTCCTGGAAGGAACATCTCAATTTCATTAACATCCTGTACTTTTTAAAATCTTTTATTCACGATCCATCATTTTATGGTATTATCTATTGCACACCTAACTACGTTTCATATTTTGTTAAAGCCAGTGTTCATTTATTGATCAGATTTGTAACTAAAACATTGAATGATTTATTTATAAAAACTTTTATAACACGGAAGACATATGGCTTGCAGTTAAAATTGACATGATATGTCGTTTACTGTGACATTTGACCATTTCAGGAATACCACAGTTCGGTTCCTGGAAAACAGTTATTACATAGATTTGTCTTTGAGGGAGGGTAATTCCTGCTGTCCCACTTTGCTTCCTGAAAGGGAGAATCGCCTGTTTGATATCAGACTAATGGTTTAGGGGAAGCTAACATACTGTTATAGTTTTCAAATATCCTAAAGGCTGAATGTAATTTTACTTATACAGGGTGATTCCAAAACAAGCCGAAGACAAAAAACTAGAATCTGAGAGGGTATATAAACAGATTTCTCATATTTTTACTAACTTTCAGGCAAGCAAAGAAAGTAATAAAAGAATCCTTATAACCCCCCAGTTAACATCGCCCCTAATAACCGCATTATTTTTCCGATAAATAAGTGATCGTAATTTGCATAATCCATATCTACAGAGCAACAGAAGAATGTCGCAAATTCCTGAACAATGTTAAAATGTAATAATTTTTGCCTATATGTACCGACGATCAGTGGTCTCATTTTAAGGCAGTTTCGATTAAGACGTTTCTACCAATTAATCTGTACCTACTCACCTTAGTAGAAGAGGTTCTCACTTGGAAATAAAATACGTTTTATTAGTTAATCACACAAATTAATTAAACTGCAATTAACCCATCACTCAAACAGAAATTAAAACAAGAAACCTATAGGTATTTATAATTATTATTATCACGTTAGGTTTGAAAGAATGCTTATGAAATACCCACTAATTATTTTATTATTTTTTCTAAAAATGCATAAATACGAAGCAGTAATCTGGCAATTTTCAGTATAGTTAAAGTTGTTCGCTTTTAAATTTGACTATTAATGTGACTATGAATATACAGAATGAGCTAAATTTCTAGAATATTTCGAAATCTTGCAAAGTATTAGCATCTTCCAAAATTGCTGAGTAGATAAGCTATGAGAGTTCTTCGCCAAAATCCCATGTAATGTCTTATGGAAGTTCATTTTACATAATTTTCATTCGAGACAATGACAACAATTTCCATTTGGCATAATGAGAATTCGAACTAATGGGATTAAATATATATTCAAACACCGTTCCCAGTATGCAGAATCCCATTAGTTCGAGTTCTCCCATAAGTTCGAATTCTCATTAGATCAAATGAAAATCGTTCTCATTGTTCCGAATGAAAATTCTGCAAAATGAACCTCCACAAGAAATAATATGGGATTGTGGCCGGAAACTGTCATAGCTTATCTACTTTGCTGAAACAGATCGAAAGAGTTTTTAAAATATGTTTTGATACACTTTAAAACTTTTCAAATCTCTAATCTGTGACAAGCATAAATCCAACTTAACATAGGTACTCGTATTTCGATACAAAAAGTTAAGCAACGATAGTCGCAGTCCCTAACTAGGTGGAGAACCGAAATGAAACTCGACGACCTTGTCCCGTCTTCTAGCGGTGTGTATATCAGCGTATACGGAGAAGCTATGCAATCTTAGGAGACAGATGTGTAGGTGATACACCGTCGTTCAGAGAGGATTTAAAGCAATCGATCTCTTGTCTATCAGGTATTAGAGAGGTTCGGCAAAACTTCCAGGTTGGAGTCGGTGATTGTCTCTGGTAGCGGAAAATGGCCAACGTTAAATAAATTAATAAAAAAACCAATCAATGTGTTATTGGATATTAAAAATGATCAAATCATTTTCATTGTATAATGGAGCTCTTAAAATATTTGTCATATATTTCTGCACTTTGATCTGATATATACATTATACATAGTCAAAGACATGATAAACTTAGTTATAAAAACAGATTAAAATTAAATATGTACTACTATTATAATATAATATTATAATAAAACAAGGAGTAATTAAACTAGACAGTTTACACAAAGCTTCTATGTTTCTGTAAATTTTCAAACGTTTAGAAGGAATTATTGACTAGTTTTTTCAACTTACCTAATAACTAGTTTCCATGTAATTGAAAACACCAGTGTTCAGTCTGAAACAAAATAAAATTCGATAAAACATAATAGCCCGTGGAACATGACAAATGTTAAAAACAAATTCTTCTTTTTTATATTTCAATCAAGTTTTTGTTATTGTTTGTTGTAATTTTATATTGCAATTTTCACAAAAATTCGTTGCTCAACAACCACGAGCCACAAACGATTATTAACGCAAAAATTCCATTTCAAATGACATCAATAAAATTCAATATTGTGTCTGCCAACAAATATTTCGTGGTATTTAAACCACAAATAAAAAAAATCCAATACGTCAATTCTAAATTACTTTTTACTCTTTAATTAAAAAGGAAAACTCAGCTAAATAAAAGTAATGACATAAAAATCGTTTTCACATTTTTTTTTCTAGTATTAGAGGGAATTGAGAATTTTACACTTAATGAGAAAACTTACAAAAGAAAAATAGCAAAAGTTGGGAAAAGGTGAAAAGAAAGCGTCTTTCTTACTAAATTTATTTCTTTGATTAACTTTTAAGAGAAGGCGGCATTGTGGAAATCATTTATTTAACTTTAAGAAACTTATTTGAAATTTGTAATTAGCAATAACCAATTCACTTTAAAGAAAACATATAATATAATTGACAAAAGAACTTATTAAGCCTTATTTTTCTGACACGTTCTTCATGAATAGAAATTATACGTTTAATTTTAAGATCGGTCATATTTAAATTATTTTATTTCTGCTAACGTTTTACAGCTTATACTAAAATTATGTAATTTACATTAACAATCATAAATTACTAATAAAAACTGAAAACAAGACAAGGAAATTTAAAATTCAAATTAGATACAAAATCACACTTTAACAATCTGTTAATTAATTCTAAATATCTGTTAAGTTAGTTACTCCTCCATTTCTTTTTATTCATAACTTAAACCGGTAAATTTTTTAATGATGTGAAGAGCAATTTGGTGGAGTGCAGATATTCAAACTGCTCCTCTTCATAAAATATATGTTGATTTTGGATTATGGTTGTATACTTTAGGGACCTGCATGTAAACACTCTTTTGAACCGATTGGATGTTATAGAAAACACAGCACTTTATTCAAGTTTAGGAAAAATGTGAACTCCAATTTATCCCCCGCATGCTGAATCTTTTGTACCTTATCTCTCTCTAAGAAGACAGTACCTTAGTGAAAAATTAATCCCTAAAATTAGTATTAAAAACCAATGTATGGCTTCGTGGTCGAATGGTAAGCATACTTGCCTCTTACCCTAGAGTTCCGGGTTTGATACCCGGTCGAGGAGCTAAGAATTTTTCTAAACCAAAAATTATTCCTAGCATACTCAGACATTGTATATGCGTCAATTCTCTCTAAATGTGTAGCCCTCTCTTGCACTAGGTACCTTTAGATACCTTCAGGGATACGGAGGTTTGTATTACCTGTGGTGTAAAATTAAATTTAATTTTAATCTCTCGTACACAGTATCTGATCTGAGTACATCTGACCTAACATTCTAGTATAAGAAAAATTCTCTACCTCTATGTATAGATTCTAGGCACTGTAGTAATATTTTCGCATTATTAGAGGATCAATACAAGTACACCACAAATTTTCATTTTTCGAATTTCACCATAATAAAATCTCGTTGTTTGCCCAAATACAAGCGGGAATATTCAAATCTCCATTTTGAAAAAGTAAAAGGATCCATTTTTAATTTACACGGATGTTTCTAAATTTTTTAAGGACAGTGGTTATGCTTACTATAAATAGAATAAATAAAACATAAAAAATAAATAAATGTTTTTTTAAATTTACAATGACACACAGCAACATTCAACCTGTGCCTTGTTTGTACCAGTTTACATTTATTCCTTAAGAGTGTGATTTTCGAAGTGAGCGCAATTAAACGAAAGCGTTTCTAGGAATAATGAGACAAAATTCAGCAATGGACATACAAGCTTGTAGTGTTTACTTTATCATACCTAATATAAGGAAGTATAGTAATCGTGATTTTTTTTTACCTCGAGATTTTGATTGATATGTTTTGAACGCTCCTGAATCTATTCTGACTATTTTCCGAATGATATCTGTGTTTGTCTGTGTGATTGTGTGTGAGTGTATGCATGTGTGTATCCGCGTATTCTCAAAAAATGCTAATGGGAGACTTCCCAAATTTGGCAGTTAAGATTGTCAACATATTAAATTTGATAAATGTGGTACCACCAGAAGAGACAATGAATGAAAGAAAAAAAGGTACAATTTCGGGAAAAAAAAATTAAAAATCTTTATTGCATTTCTGGATGATTCTCGACGAATTATAATGAAAAAACATAACTTTATGAAAATAATTTGACCGCATGTCTGCAGTATCACGATAGGAGCCATAGTTTCTTTAGGTAAAGCCTTCAAATTTGGTACATATGTTCTAAAGGCCAAACACAATGATAAATTTGGTAATGAGCAAAATTGGCCAGCTGAAGAAGATCAACGGGACCCAAACTTTTTTGTATTTGTCTTTACAAAAAAATATATTCTTTATGAAAGATTATAAATCGTGTCTACTATATCAAGCCATTAAAATATATTTTCTAAGTACTTAAAGCTGTTGTAAACTGAAATTTTTTGCACATTTCACCTTATAAAATGGGGTTAGGATAAATTTAGCAGTTTGACTTTTGAAATGTCTAATTTAGTTGACATGAATTATTATTGACAGTATCAAATGACCCTGATAATTCATTATTAAAATTTGTAATGAAACATTTCAAAGTACGCTGGTAAAATTTAATTGAAGTAAGTGAAGAATTAAACACAACGATTTTTTTTAGATCGGGATGATATATACAGGTATAAGAAAGTTATGTGCTGGCCACATCAGATATTTTAAATCAAAGAAGAACATATTTAACTAAAACGTCCTTTTACTAAAAATATAAATTTCCTTAATATACGCATTTTAAAAGTTATATGAAAAGTATTGAAAACAAATTTTTATCACAACAAAGAAGGTCTAGTGCCATATTCCCCAAAAAGAAACCTTCTTTGTTTTATTTTGAACCCCAATAAATCTATCTTGTTTTATTTGTATGTGACAAATTTTTATATTCGTTAATAAAATGGCAAATAGGAACTTAAACGAAAAAACCGCTGCCAATTACTTGGGGATCAGAACTTCCTCACCGTAGTAAAACTCGACGTGTGGTGGAGCTTGTAATACAAATAATTTTTGACGTTTCAAAAAAGTCACATTTTCTAACGTTTCAAAAAAGTCACATTTTTACGTTTCAAAGAAGTCACATTGGTGGAATGTCACTAATATTTTTTTTAGACATTGGGTCCGATTATGCTCATCAACGAATTCAATCTCTCCCTTGACCTCTAGAATTTGTATACCAAATTTGAAAGTTTTATCTCAAAAACTGTAGCTGCTTTCGCGAACCACACACAGACACACAGGCAGACAATTTTTTTCTGTCTAAAATTTTGTGTATCGTCATAACTCGTCGACATTCATCCAGAAATGCAACAAAAATTTTCAAAATTTTTTTTACAAATACATAACTTCTTCACTTTGAAGGGTGAGGGTAAAGAAGAGACCCCTCAGAAAAAAGTCGGAAATCATTTCCTATTTCTTCTTCTTAATTATTTCAATTTTATAAGACCTCATTAATCGAATCTTAGAATTCTAATGTTAATTTATCAAATATTCTCGCCGTGTCGTGCTGTCATATGTTGAAACTTATTAGAATTATTTACGCCTTTTAATAGCTGCCCAGCAAAATATTATGTATTTTAAAGTCGAAGAATTATGATAGTCTAAATTGAAAATAATTTAAAATAACAACTGCAAAGAATTTTTCAGTTTTAGTATTACTTTTGTTTATTCATATTTTAATGAAATTTAAAAAGAAATTGTTAAAAATATAACAAGATATGTATGGATATAATAAATTAATATTATACAGGAAATAGTTTGATAAAATTCGATTAGCTAATAAAATAGTAGCAACAATTTTGTGAAATATCAGATTTTTTTCATTAAAATTTTAAATTTGCGATATATAAATAAACATTTCAACATTATTCTTCCCTTCAATTTGCCCTTTATTATTCTATTTGTAATATTTATTATATTTATCTTACTTATCTCATTTATCTTATTAATCCTATTAGCCGTATATATTTATTTATATTATTTACCACATTTATCTTATTTGTTTTATTTATTTTATTCAAATTTTTTATCTTATTTACCTTGTTTATGGTATTTTTCTCTGCCTTACTTATCTCATTCATCTTGTTTAGTTTCTTGATCGTATTTATCTTATTTATCTAATTTGTTTAATCTGCCTTAATGTCTCATTTCCCTTATTTGTCTGATTTGTCTCACTTGTCTCATTTGCTTAATTTGTCTAATACGAGTATATCTCATTTATCTTATTTATCGTATTTATCTTAATCATTTTACTTCATCGTAGGAAAAAGGAGTTAAAACTTTAAAGTAACATAAGCATTAGGATTTAGTTTTAGTATTACTCAATACTCATGACTTGAATGAGGTGTTGTTGTAATAGGATTTTTAATTATGTATTCTGAGAACGAAAGTAATTATAGTCGAAAGTTAAAAATACTTTTATTACGTCTCATACAAATCAAAAAAGAAGCAGTGAAAATTGCAATACTGTTAAATGGCAATAGGTATTCTCTCTGAGCTACATGTGTTTTTGCAAATAGAAAGTTATAAGAAATACAAAAGTTGTGAAACGGCAAACGGAACTTCTCTATAATTTAATTTATAACTGTCAAAATGACACTAACATGGGAAGCCGTCAAAAACATTCAAGCTATCCAAATGACACTAACTGCGATTTTCATTGGTAGCACTAGGGCGCCATGCCACGATAAAAGTCGACGATTTAGCTGGACAAAACATCTTTGATCGTTAGAAATAAATAAAAGCTTTCTGTATCATGTTTATTTACATTAATTATTAAAAGAATATAGGTCACACTAACAAAATAATGATAAATACCAAGTGTTAAATAACTTAATTACTAACACGTTATTTAAACTTGGAAAAAAGTTTTTATTTAAATCGTGATAATAAAATTATAACAAAAGTTGTATGAATACATAAGTAGAAACCTAGTTACGTATTTAAAAACCTACTCTTAAAATTAGTCATTACAATCTGATTCGTCACTGTCTATGACATATTTCTGAGCTTGGCAGTTCCAACTGTCCAGCATATTTATTACATCGGCTGGTAATGCGCCACTTCTCCGGGATGGTAGATTTTATAAACTGCTAATAAGTGGGTCTGCAGTTATTAACAGCATGTGCATCAAATCTTCCCTGGTTGTTTTCTTGGAAATCTTTCGAGTGTGGTATTCACGAAACCGTTTGCAGTCTTTATGCCTTGCCTCCTGCGCTTCTTCTGACAACTGATCAATAGGTACAGTAGCCAATTTAATTATATATGCTTCATGTATTAACAGCTTGTGAACTGTTGCCGGCATAAAATATCAATTATAAAAAGAAACATACTACTTGCTGTTTCAAATGCATGTTCTCCAGATTTATTTGCATTTACTGGCAGGCTACATGGAATTGTTCATAAAATATTGGACAGTCGATGAAACAATGTTTTATCAATTTCTGTGAGGCGAAAGGCAACATTAGGATTTGGAAAAAAACATCTCGCGGCATTCCCATCATTTGTTGTGCTGAAGCCAGGTTTTGGAATATCCATGAGGAGGCCCATTTCTATTCGCAAGGTTAATTAAGGAATAGCCTCTCCATTTTTTTTTGTTGGAAAAAAATATCGAATTACTAGTTTCGATAACATAAATAAACATCATGTATAAAAATTTGTGTAGTATTAAATAAAAGTTCCGTTGTGCAGTTTAACGGAGCCAAAGAATTTACTTAGTTGACTTTATTTTATTCGCTATTACAAGCAGAGACTCCGCCCTTCTAGCTGTTCTGCTTCACCTTCCCCACGAGCATTGATGGTCCCGACTTCAGAAATAACACTGTTAATATATTACTAATTTTAAACCGTAAAAACTCAATTTGACTATCCTTGAGGATGCTAATCAACATAGCGAAACTTCTACTAAATTAAAAAAGTAGTTTGTCCTCTCTTTTTCTATGGTCTTATTTATATTAACGTTCAGGCGGAGTTTAGCGCACATAGCTATACAACTACTCAATCAGGACAGACACAGACAACAGCCATTCCCTCCAATATCTGCGATTTGCCGTAGCTGAGACTAGAATAAACTCAGGACAGATAGACAGTGA